CCCCCCCCCCCCTCCCTCTAGCGAAGTTCAAACAAGCAACAAATGACATCGTCCTCTCTTGCCGCTCCTTGTGTGCATCTTCTCCATGTGTTGCGTCGTCTCGCTGGCTCACCTCGCTTTCGCGCCTACGAAGACACTACCCCCTCATGGACAACGAGATCGACGAAGAGCAGCCCACGCGGAGGGTATCATCCTGAGACACGCCACTGGGGAAGAACAATGAACAATGAAGATGGTCTCCCTCAGCAGAAGATGGCCGATCTGCTTGTTTTTATTGGTTGGTTGGTCGGACAATCATGGTTCCGACGGGGCTGATCGTGATTTGTTCGGCGTAAGCTGCGGTTCTGTTGCTTGTCGTTTTGGGCACTCGTAATGGGGGCACACACGGGTGCGATAGCAGCGCAGTCGCGCCATCTGTCGGTCTTGGTAGTGCAGTAGGTAGCGAGTATTGATAGTCCGGTTGGATGGAGAGAGGAGGATCGAGAAGGCAAGCATCTTATGGTCGAGGAATGTTTCGCTACAAGCTATCTCATGTGTTCTTAATGGTCTTCGTCACTTACAAATGTTGATGTTTTTTTTCAACATGTCACGGTTGCTCGTGTCTATGGGAGAAGCAGAGGGAAGCACATCCTACGAAGGTGCGGTGTTCCTCAGCGCTCAGGTTTCTCCCTGCCTGTCTCTGTTTTTCTTTCGTTAGCTGTGTTTGAAGGTACAACAAGTGCGCTTTTTTCTTTTGATAAGAGGAGAGGTGCCGCATGTATATCCTTACGGGGGGGCTGGCTGACTTCTGCTGCCTGTCTTATCTGCTGCCTGTCTTAAAAGAACGTGCTGCTTTGTCACCAACTTCTTTTTTTGCTGTACCGTACCCCTCGACGGCTTTTTCTCGTAGAATGTCCAGAGTGAAAGGAAGCACTCAACGTCACGTTTTCGCGATTTCCTAGCCATGGTTCTCTCGGAGATTCCACCGGCGGTGGGCGTGGTAAAGTGAGGGTAGATGGAAGTGCGGGTGAACCGGGGTGGTACTACCGGACTCACCGGGTCTCCAGCCTACTGTCGAACACCGTGTTACGCCAGCCCGTGTTGATTGGACGGCAGGCGCGGATGGCGAGCTGAACGAAAAACGGTTCCTCTGTCCACGAAGACACTAGAGTGAGGAGTGCTGTCTCGAGTTTGTTGCTGTGGATCAGGTTGCTGTCTGTTCGGATGGAACGCGAATGAATCATGTCTTCTCATGGTTCTCATGGTCGGTTTTGAAGCTCTCCCAGTACGAACAACCTTCAAGAAGCGGCAGGTTTCTCGTTCCGTGACACGCCTAAGTATCCGGAAGCGCAGCGTCCAGACAGCTGGGTGGACATAAGGTGGCAAATTGAGACCAACACCGGGCTAAAACCAACAAGCAACCTCATCCGACAAGAAAATTCGGAGAGATTTTTCAGATTCCGCTTTACTTCCTCCTTTTTTATTTCTCGAAGTGGAGTATGTATTGTTTTTTGGGTACGTATATAGTTGGCCTGTGAAAGCGTCCGTCCGAGCCAGATGGACTGGTACGGATGTTAGAGGTACTGAGCAGGGACCGGGACTTTTCCACTTAAGTTATGTTAAGACAAGGTTGGGTGACCTACGGTACACAAGGATTTGACTCTTTGACGGGATTAATCCCGAGGTAAGACGCTTATTGGCCAAGATAACCGATACCGTTCCATCGTGACTCATGCGGAGAGTATCGAGACCGCTTGTCGTTTTTGTTTTGGTCTAACCAATTTCTGTCACCCCGATTGCCGTTTCTTGTCACAATAAATGGTTGGGTCCAACGATACCTACCTTGCGATCTGCAGCGAGAAACTAAAACCACGGCAGCCACTCTCATTTTCTTCTGTCTGTCGTTTAGCCCTGAAGAAGTAACCACGCAGTCCTTCGGTTTCATCGTTTGTGTGTTGCATGGTGCAACTGTCCAAAATATTTTTTCTTGGAACGCATCGTGCGGCTGTGCCTGGCCGACATATCGTTCCGTGTTGTGCCGGGGTGGTGAAATATAGTGTACAGGCGTATGTATGCATGCGCATGTATGTGTCTGAAAATGCGAGAGGCTACATTATGTAGAAGAGGGGTGGATGTGAGTGTGTGCGTGGCTGGTGGAGGGAGAACGTTGCGGCACGACCATGGTCATAGCATAAACTCTCGATCAGACCACGACCAACCATCCATGAACAGATATCCATATGTGATGAGAGAGAGATCCGTAACTGTTCGTTGTTACACTTGCTTGCGTCGTAGCTGTTGACTTGCGGACCGCTCGTGGCCAGTATATTTGAGTGTACCTTTTTAGGGTAAGTTAGCCTGCGACCACGGGAATCGACCGCGTCGAGTGTCGGATCAGTACGGACATACGAAGGTACTGGGTAGAGAGATCGGAACGGTTTTTATTATGAAGACAACAACAAAACAGTTTTTGTTTTGGGTTCCCCGCGGCGTCATATGTGCCGGGTTTTGAGACCACGGGCTCCCCATTTTTGGTGGACTATGGATCTAAAATGTGAGAAACAACAACAAAAACAATATATCATTGGACGCTGCTAGTGAGGAAAAGCCCACCCAGGCCCTAAGCACAGACGGTTTGGTCGCCTTCCCGACGTTCCGACGCTGGGGCACAAATTCGTTGAGCCTTGGTTACACTTTATGACCGGTCGCCCCGGTGGTCTAGTGGTGTCCTCGTTACCCTTATGTTTTGCATGCCTTTTTTTTTTTTTTTAGCGGTTAGACCATTGACCACGCGTCCTCGAGAGGACGGAGCATTGTTCCCACAGGACCGATCACCGATGGCCAATCGTTCCTTTCTACTTTGCCAAAGGTGGCTCAAAAATGTCTTCCCTAGTCTGTCTATCCTAACGATATCCCTTCCCGCCTTTTCAACCCACCTCCTATGCCCCACTACAGCTACCGTCCTTTCCTCTCTATTCCGTGCCTCATCCATCTCCCTGGACGTCCCATCTATTTTTCTCAGCTCAGTCACGTACACTTCGCTCTCCTTCTTGTACCACGGACATTGCGCGACTATAGGAACACGGTCTTCGCATTCGAAGCCGCAATCACATTTGAACTCGTCGTCTTC